GACGCGGCTTACCGGTGGAAATGTCACAATGTATTTTCGAATCACAGTGAAGCAAGAGTAACTGGACGAACTTCAGTGCTTTGTTATTGCGAACAGATTCGAAATCAGAGTCAGTGATTTGTGCAGCAGCAATGTCCTCTAAGTGGATGGACGATGTCGACAGTTGGTGAATGTCGGTGCGGGATAACGCGTCAGCGACAATGTTGCCTGGCCCCTCGATGTAGTGGATGGCAGAGGTAAACTGCGAGATATAATCAAGATGTCTTGTCTCCCGAGGAGAATAGCGATCAGCTGGCGAGTTAAATGCGTAGACAAGTGGCTTATGGTCAGTTAGAACGATGAAGTGGCGTCCTTCGAGGATGTGGCGGAAGTGCTTAATGGCGAGGTAAACAGCAAGAAGTTCACGGCCGAATGTGCTGTACCTGGTTTGAGCCGGCTGGAGCTTCCGTGAGAAGAAGGACAGAGGCTGGACTTCGTTGTCTATGACCTGTTGTAAAACGGCTCCGACGGCTGATTGCGACGCGTCGGTTTTAAGTACTAACCTGGTGCTGGCGTCGGTGTTCAGATGACTCAGGGAAGTCGCGGTTGCTAGCGTTTGTTTGGCTTTTTCGAAAGCAGCTAGAGCGTCGGGTGACAGAATTAGCTTTCTCGGGTTACGCTGTAGCAAATCGGTAAGCGGTTTTAGGACATCGGAACAGTTAGGGATAAAACGACAGTAGTAGTTAATGAGACCGAGGAAACGTCGGAGGCTCTTTATGAACTGAGGCATAGGGTAGTCGGTGATGGCAGTGACCTTGTCCGGAAGTGGACGTATACCTGTGGAGTCGATGTGATGTCCAAGGAAATCGATGCTAGGCATGCCAAAAATGCACTTAGCAGGGTTGATTGTGACACCAAAATGAGCTAGACGTTGGAAAACCTGGTGTAAATGAGACAGATGTTCCTCTTCGGTTGGGCTGGCTACCAAAATGTCGTCAATATAGGCGAAGACAAAATCAAGACCACGAAGGACTTGGTCAATAAATCGCTGAAAAGTCTGGGCAGCGTTTCGGAGACCAAACGGCATACGGAGAAACTCGTAAAGACCGAATGGCGTCGTGATTGCGGTCTTAGGTATGTCTTCTGGGGCCATTGGAATCTGGTAATACGCGCGGACTAGATCAATTTTAGAGAAAAGGCGTTTCCCGTATAGACTCATGGAAAAGTCATGGACGTGGGGAATTGGGTATTTGTCTGGAACAGTGGCGTTATTTAGAGCGCGATAGTCGCCGCATGGTCGCCAATCCCCTGTGGATTTCTTTGAAACCATGTGAAGTGGGGATGACCATGGGCTATTCGATGGACGAATAATGCCTAAATTCATCATGTGTTGAAATTCAGATTTGGCAATGGCGAGTTTGTCGGGAGCAAGACGTCGTGGTCTGGCGGTGATAGGATTGCCTTTAGTTTCGATGTGATGGCGGATTTCGTGTTTGGGCTGAAAGTCATCGCTGATCGGTTGATAAATGGACGGAAACTTGCGCAGAAGAGCAGTAAACTTATTGTCGGAAGGCAGAGCCAAACGAATGCCAATCGAGTCGATAGCGAGGACTTTGCCAGAGACAGTAAGTGAGGTGACGCTGTCACGGAGTTTCCTGTTTCCGAGATCAACGATGATGCCAAACTTCGTCAAGAAATCGATGCCAAGAATGGGCTTCTGCACGTCGGCGATTAAGAAAAGCCAAGGTAGTCGACGTCGGAGTCCCAGATCTAGGGTTAACAGTTTCTGACCGTACGTTTGAATTTTCGTACCATTGGCCGCATGGAGTGTGACATGCCCAGGAGAAAGTTGGCGTTTTTGTGTACCTACGGGTATGACGCTAACTTCGGCACCCGTGTCGACGAGAAAACGGTAGCCGGTTGAGTTGTCAAACACGTGGAGAAGGCGACTATGGTGTTGGCCAGCGGCAGCTGTCGCCATTACTGGCTGGCCAGCGAGTTTCCCTGTTGGTTCTGTAAGCGAAAGGCTTTAGGGTGCGAACACCACGGCCTACAGTTCCGTGCAGCATCTCCAAATCGTTTGTGAAAATAACAGAGACGATTCAGTTGGTCACGGTTGGAGGGTAGAGCACGTGTGTTTCGGCCAGGTGATACACTTCCACGGCGGTTAAGACGTTTGGTGATGAGGGAAACTTGGGCAGTTAGCTGTTCAATCTGGTTCTGCAGCCTATCCATTACAGACGTACTTTCAAACGCGTTAGTAGGCTGCGAGACCTGATAAATGGGATGCTTGAAAAAGCATCCATGCACCTTGTCGGCTAGTTCAGCCAACATATCAAGCGAAATTTCATCATCTTGGACGGACAAAACGAGGACGGTATTAGGTGGTAGACATTTAGTCCAAAGTTGGCGCAGGACTGAGTCATCAACTTTGTAGCTACCAACTAAAGTTCTCATGTGTCGATGTAACTGAGATGGAGAGCGGTCGCCACGTTCAACACCAGATAGGAGTTGCTGTAAGCGAGACTCGTCTGAAGCGGTCGGGCGTTTTAACACAGCAGCTTTAAGGGTATCGTACGGAAATTCTGTTGGCATTGGGTCAAGGTGTAGCGGCTTGACGAATGCTACACAAGAAAACCGTAGCCCGGTGAGACAGAAGACGGTGGGATATAAAGATTGTCTTGAGAAAATAGCTATGTACAATAGCTATGTGAATATAGCTTGAGGACAATGGGAGAGAGTGGTGAAGCAATGAGTAACACAACGTAGGAACGCAACAGCCAGCAACGCGCGGACAAGATGGCGAACCCAGTTCAAAATTGCAGTCCAGTATATATAGGCTTGGGATGGGTGCAAAGTAAAACAAAATGTGCACAAGTCTGAGTGTGATGTTTGATGGGGTAAAATGTCATGGTCACTACAAAGGACGTCGATCACCTCAGTGGCAATATCCGTAGGGAGCTGAGTAGCCACATAGGAAAACATAGTCTCTTGTGTAGTAATCCTACGGACACGGAAATATGCCTCAATTTGCGTGAACCAAACACGAGGATTAGATACACCAAAAGCAGGCAAATTAAAGGAAATATGGTTTTCACAGGGAACCGTACTCAAACTAGGTTTGGATTCCATAGCAGTCGTGCAAAAAAAATACTGGGAGTTCTGAGCTTACAAAAAATGAAGTACTAAGAAAAAAATTCGGGGTCACCAATTATGTAGTGGACTCGGACCCAAAGAGAAATAAAGATGAATAAATGATGATCAAAAATGACAAAACTCACAGAAGGGTTCGACGTGGGTTAGAAGTCCAACCACATAAAATTTCCTAGTTCTCTTGCGTCAGCCACTCCCTGCTAGCAAATACGGAGGTATACGAAGATTTTTCTTCGTTATACGTGTCCGGACACAGTACGAAGGTATACGAAGGTTTTACGAAGGTAAACTGAGATTTACCTTCGTAAAAGCTTAGTGTTTGCCGCTGAGTGACACGAGGAATACGAAGGTGGTTGTCCGCCAATCGGTTGTGTAGTTTTTGGTGCGCACGTGTATGCGTCAGCCATACGCAACCAATCACAGGACAGACGGACCGCACTTACTGAGGTAAACGAAGATTTTTCTCCGTCAATACGAAGCGCAGCCTTCGTAATGACGGAGGGAATACGAAGCGTTTCCTTAGTCAATACGAAGGTTTCTCTTAGTAAATACGAAGGCGTTTCCCCGTATTGACGGAGCAATACGAAGGTTTATCTCAGTAAATACGAAGGCTGCTCTTCGTAAATACGAAGCAATACGGAGGTTTTCCTTAGTAAATACGAAGGTTTTTCTCAGTAAATACGAAGGCTGCTCTTCGTAAATACGAAGCAATACGGAGGTTTTCCTTAGTATATACGAAGGCTGCGCTCCGTAATTACGAAGCAATACGGTGAATTCTCTTAGCACGTACGAACGTCGGTCACCTTACTTAAAAGGCTATACTAAGGTTTCTCTCAATATATACGAAGGTTGCTCTTCGTACTTATGAAGCGATACTAAGATTTTCGACGCCATGCTACGATTCTTCTAAGTAATTTGTAACGATGCTCATGCTAATAAGGAAGCGAAAGTAAGAGATCACTTAGTTAATGTGTTACCTTACCAAAGGGTAACGTTCACGTGAGGGACGCGATTCAAGGCTTTCGGGAAGCCTACAGGAAGAGGTTTCTCCTTATGGCGCAAGCCAAATGCTTCTAACTAATCACTATGAAGCTATTGGTATATCACGGTTTGCTTACATAAGGTACCGGAAACCGTCGTACTTTTGCCGTACACGGCCCAGTGAACGTTTTCAAAAATGTGGACGCACAATACATGAAAGCAATACGTAAGCAGACTGCTGCGAGGAGTACATTGTCCACTTACCCATAGGGTATTTGCAGCCTGATTTCCCTTCTCCCCGTCCGACTAGGTAACGAAATGACCAGGGAGTAAATACCGCATTTGTAAGTCAGTCAATCCCACACCATAGCAAAAGCTGCCTGACATCTTAATGCAAATGTGAACGAGCGTACGTTATCAGCTACGGCGAAATATGAAACCGCGCAACGTAGTTGTCCCTGTCTTTTGATAAAATAAAGACCATGGCCTGCAGTGCCTTCCTTCCAGTCACGCAGTAGTCGAAATGCGGTAGTCACAATACGCGCCGAGACGGTGACATCGTATGGCATATGCGGAAATACCAGGGAGCGCTTGAAGCAAACCAGAAAATGGTTACAAATGTATATTAAAGTGCATGTAAACATTTACAACTTTGTCCGTCTTTCCTGATTGCTCTGATTGTCTAAATCTATCAAATCAAAAGGCTGTAATTAAAGCCGTTATGTACGGCATTAAAGGTACACAATACCTGGGATTCCTGACTGCTTGATGCGGCAGATGTACGCCGGTGCAGATTGCTCCGGGAAATCTGTAACCATTTGCAAACGCCGTTCGCTACGGCGTTGGCCGTGACCCCAAATCGGTGAACGATAACCTCTGTGAAGGAAGATAAAGTTGGAAAGGTTATCTGAGTTACCTTGAAGCGCACTGAATGTGTGCGTTTTCTTGAACGGTATTGCGTTGTTTGCACCCGCAAAGTTAAGCTGCCTCAAGACCTCTCTGTTCAGAACCCTATCCAACATGTATCGAATGGCCTCCGATACCGTGCCGGCGGGTGTTGAGTTCATGCGAGTAGTCTAAGTCATGAATTGAAAATCCTGCAAGGTGACTTACCAGTTCTCGACGGAGGTCTGGGTCCACTAATTTACTCTCTAACTCCAAGAATTCCTCAATAGTTGAGGTAGGTAGAGATAAATCATGACGTTGCATTGGTTTTGCAGTCCACATGGCCTGGGTCATGGCCGCGTGGCTCTCCTTCAATACGTGAAGGGTCTCCTCCACGCGTCTAAGTGAATCTGCTAATTCGTCGCAAGTAAGAAGCTCAAACATACCGACCACAGCGTGCAAAGTGTGCATGACCCTTTTGTCAGATTCATGACACCTGCCTGCCAGGGCGTGTATCTAAAGTGCAAAACCGGAAGACTTACAGCATTTCATACCCTCCGTTTGAACGGCTACTTCATTACATCCACCTGTTGCGGAAAACGGAATTACGGAAAAGGGAACTTACGCATGTGAGTATCCTCCTGGAAGTCATCAGCAATCTGAGGAGGCATGGTATGCCGCGCCACGTCCTCCAACGAGAATTCAGGAAATCTGCCATAGGTTGCAGATGCAGGAGCGTTGCACCGTTTTTTTCTGGTCGGTACATTCTCATCCCCGTAATCACGAAGTTTCGCCGGCAGGCGTCTGCAATGCATTGCGTTATCAAATGTGTAGCGCATTACATAACTCGCTTCGGTGATGTTTGCATGGGGATGGTGCAATCTGTGTCCGTCCCGTGACGTTGATCCCCGACGGTACTTTCCAGTCGGCGTGCGTCTTCGAAATGCACTGCAAATGATTAAATGAATGTCCTTACCTGTACGATGAAGTACCGTCACTGGAAACATTTTGCAGTCAGCTATGGGGTATCTGTGCTCCCGCACCGCCTGGTGGCAATCGAACATTGGAAGGTTGGGCAAAAGAGCATGCTGCCCGTCCTCCAACAGCCATCTGCTGCTTATTGTGTTCACTTGGGAGACACCGTCGTGCGTGTAACTGACAACGCAGTAATCCCACAGCGACATATCTGTGGAAGCCAATACATACGTGATTACCGTAAGCATGCAACTGCTGGACGCCCCCTTAAAAAACGGGAAAACAGACAACACATACAACTGCAGACTACAGATGGAACAGTCGGAAGTAAGCTATGGAAGGAGTATATTGTAATGGGTGTCATCCGTAATGGTTCCAGATACACAACATTAAATCACATCGTGGCCTTCCTATGTTCCTCAGGTCGGGATTGTCGCAAGTTGCCATCCAATCCATCTTTCCGTGTTGCTTAGTGCAAGGGAAATTACTGACGTCATCTTGCATAACTGGGACATAACAAAAAGGGGCACTTACCGGAGTCTGTGGGCACCAAGGAATATAGGTACTTGAATAGCTGTTATCAACATGGGCCGCATTCTTGAGTTTTCAAAATGTTTGAATTTTTTGCTCTTTTTCAATTATCATTTTGCTTTCTTTTCCGTCTCCAGATGAATTGTTACCGTAAGGATAATGATATGGTCACCAATACCATGCGGATAAACAGGCAGAGTCGGTAAATGCCGTTAGCACCATATGTAATGGTATCCTGCAGCACGCATACCTTGTGATCATGGCATACGTCAACAAGACCGCAAAGCTACGGCACCCTGGGTTGTCGCGTTCTAAATGTATGCAGCAATGGGATGATGACTTCGTCTAAACCAACGTTGAAACATACGCATTTGCATAGGATGTCATGAATCGGAAACCGCCGCAAGTCATCAGACACACCATTAGCAACATAAATATGCAGCCTGGAAGACGGCATACTATGGACGTATAAATCTCTGAGATGTAGGAATGATGCGCAGTTAACATATGCGGTTGTTGCAACGTCCGGTTGCAACGATACTATCTGGTACGGTTTCTTTCCTACGATGATTACGTTGTCAGGTTTGCTTGGGAAAAACACGGTGCCATTTAACCGAAAACCCATTTGCCTATTTATTTCGATGAGGGATACAGTTTCACATAAGTTGGAGGGCTGATTACCATTGCATAAGTTTCCCTGGAACTCCATACACCGTCGCAAAAGCTGAGGAACGATGTTCACTGGGCTTCGTATTCGCCTTTTCAGACACCTAATGTAAGATTCGAAAGGGAACGCGGAGAAATCATCCAGTGTCCCATGTGCATACGCATCTTGTGCCAAATGACACAGCGAATGCATGTTGAATGTCATTTCTTCAGCCCCATACAGTTTGAAGAAACGCGAAATAAACACCATCAGTACATTATGTGCAAAAGAGCAACATTTTCTGAATAGCAAAGGATGACAAAGCAGATAAATACCTAAATGCAAATCCAAGAAATTGACGTAATAGTCCAGGGGCAAAATATCCCGCAGAACCGCGGGTCCGGCATACAACAAGAATTGCCGGAATTCAGACGCTTTCCACCATCTGAACTTATCTACGCCTCTACAACGGCGTGGAAAATCACGCGGCCAATGACACCGATTCATGTCAAGGACATCGTTAAGACGTGACACAGTGTCCATATCCAAGCGAAAATCCTTGCTAGCGGCGGCAGTTGTCCACAAGGATATCATGCGCCGCATAACACCCAAGCAAACAGCATGCATATAGTCTATAGGAAACTGCTCCACCATGTCTATGGGCAAGTATTCAAATGGTGACCATTTGCTACGGCTGTGCGCACGGAAGGACTCATTGGTACGTAGGCGGCAATCGGTGCAAGGAAACGTTACTTTCCCAGAGACATAAACACCTCGCTGCACACATTTGTCGCAGCTGCCGTACCCGGAATGTGCTTTACTACGCTTCACATATGATCTTGCTGGTGCATCACAAATGATATTAGAGATACGCACAGCGTTTGGTGTAGACCGCCCGGGCAACATAACGCCTGTTCGAAGTAACGTTCTCAATTCCGTTACAAGTGGAGCCAAAAAGTGGTGTACATTCCACGGTTTTCGTGGACCCGAGTATACACCAACCAAAAATGGATGCGATATCAAGGGCGCCACAGACCTACACAAAATGGGCCAAACTTGCACACCGGATGAATTAAATGGTGAGAACCCATCCACATGCAACTGCAGGTGAATGCTCTGGTAGGTGGGCACACTTTCGCAACGGTAAGCCATCTTCAGACCGTCAATTATCCCCATGTGACCATACGTACCAGGATGTACCTCCATCTCGTTAGTGGTTCTTGGAGTTCTCATCAACGTCCGGTAATCCTTCGGTAGAGACGGTATGAACTTACGCAACCCTTCCAGAAGCTTGTTAACAGCCCAAGCCGAGGTGTTGGTATTAAGCACCCATGATGCGAGGAAACTACGTGCCTCATCACACGGCGTTGGTGACGTAGTCAAATCTATAGCACTGCAATCATGCTCCCCTAGTTCGCAGCTCATGCTTTGCACGTCATCACTGTCGGTTTCCGTCCTTGGTGACTGAACGGAAAGTACGTCGGGGGATTCGCGTATACAGCGGTTGTGGTCCGCATCTGAAAGGTTACGCGGTGGCGAGACGCAAAAGTCTACAAACACACAAAAAGGTTGTCCGTGAACCTTACCTCCCATAATTGCATCCACGTTACAAGTGGGGCTACGGTTGCGCTCACTGAATGCCTCACGCTCTGCGAGTCTACGCAAAAGAAGCAATCGCATTCTCAATGTGCGTGCAGAAGGTAACGCAAACGAACAACGACGTTTTGTTAAACGACTACGCATCTCTAGAACATGAAATATTAAATGAACAAACGCTTACGTAAGGATGCTTAAACAAAAAAAGGTGTCTGAAGTGAATGACGGACGTACCGACAAGGAGACCAATGGGAAACGGTAGAGCAATCAAATGACCGCGCACTTCTATTTCCGGTAAAAAAAGGTACGCAAACAAACATTGACGTTTACCTTAAGGAACACAAATCCACATTATATCTCACTTTATAACCCTTTGACGTTATTATACGTAACATTAATTGTTAAACAAAAAAATTTCTTTGCATTAATTTTGGTCCAATCATACATCTACATAGAAAGTCCACGGACTGCCTTCCTATTGGTTCGTAAATGACGAAGCAAAACGAAGACAAACCTTCGTAAGCGTCCGTCATTGACGGAGGTAAACGAAGGAAAATCTCCGTAAACGTCCGTCAGTGACGGAGCAAAACGAAGCTAATTCTTCGTAACCGTTCGTCATTGACGAGGGTAAACGAAGATTAACCTTCGTTTTGCTTCGTCACTGACGAACGTTTACGAAGAAAAATCTTCGTAAACGTTCGTCAGCGCCTCGCCATTGACGAAGCAAAACGAAGATTTTGCTCAGTATGACGGAGATTTTTCTTCGTCATGTGCTACCAGGGTCCGATGGATTGCAACGACGAGGATGGTGAAACCAGTTGAGACGGAACGAGATCTGTAGATGAATATTGCTCGAGGTTAGAACGTAGTGATCGACAATGCCATAAAATCCGCGACACAAGAACACAGGAGACCGTGCTCCACAACGGTCGGTGATCAGCAGGCGACTGGGAGGTTGCCGTAGCGAACAGCACTCAAATTTGCCTTGGTGAAGGAAAGGAGAAGATGACACTGTAATATAAGAGCTGTTGATATGTAGAGCATGCTTTGTAG